CTTCTCCCGCACCTGGGGAAATGGGGGGTAACATCAGGGTGAGGGTACATTGCCCAGAAACATCCTTTTTGAATACATTGCTAAACATATGAAGATGCTTCCCACCATACCTCAAAAAACGTTGGATGACGAAATCGTAAAATGCTATCGGCTGTGGGGGAATCACGCCCGAACAGTATATAAAGGACGGTTTTTCGTTAAATAAAGTCAGTCTAAATTAAATCTTCGACTCGAAATCTTCAAGAGGTACCCTGCTCGTCATTCAGTTCAATTCTCCACGCCCAGTCTTCAGGGGACCAACCCTGCAGGACCATCCTCTGACGTCACCATTAGGCGTAGTCTGAGCGAACAACTTGACTCTCCTTGCAACCCCAGATAGAGTGATCAACTTTACTCACAACCAACGAGTCCATAGCAAAATTTCGACTCGTGGTTATTAACGAGGGGCCCTGCTCATTATTAAAGCTGACCCTATAAGATCTGTCTGTTAGGAAGCAGCTCTACAACATCGCCCAGGCTAATCGCTACTTGATCGACTAGACAACTCGATTTTCTTCACTACGTTAGATCAACGGGTGTACTTCAAGGGAGGCAAGCCAGCCTGTCCCATTACAAATTCTTAACTTTCGACGAAGAGGCCTGCTCATTATTAAAGATAACCCTTCGAGATGCGTCTGTTGGGAAGTGGGTCTGCAGCATCACCCACTCTTATCGCCACAAGCTCGCCTAAACGACTCGATTTTCTGCACTGCAAGTCATAACCCGCTAAATCTCTCCGGCAGGTGTGGTGGTGGGGCCGTAGCGACCATGTGTGGGGGGCGCCGTAGTGGCTCTTACACTACTTACCGCTTTGTACGTTGTCAAGGGCGACGAAGAAGAAATATTGCAGTTAAGGACAAGGATCATGCTGGGAGATAAACTGAATGACAGCAATTTTGAAGGTATCACAAAATCGCACTTCAGGGCCGGTCATCACTGACTAGTGTAGCGGACACTGGGTCAGTAGGTAGGTCGAAATATCGAATAAAAGGTGAACCCTTCAGATGAGTTGACCGTAACTAGTCACGACAGATAGTGTCCGGAGGAGAAAGGACCTTATAAACCTCACTTAGAGGGGCCTACTGCGTGGGACTAAGTACTGAAGTACACAATGGTTAACTCACATCTCGTAGCATTTGGAGTAACCGGTAGTAATTGCCGGAAGTCTCCGCCCAACAGCAAAATTTTCCCACCAAATGGTAAATTGTTATTCATCAAATCACGTAATGTTCGATCGATCAATTCCATCGCAGATCTAGGAGCCATAGGTGCTTCGTCGCAGATAAAAATATTTACTTTCCTCAAGTATTCTGCCTCTCTCGATTGACGTCTTATATTGGGAACCAAGTCTGGAAATAGCTGAACAGGTATGCCGAATGTTTTATGCAGTGGTTTTCCGTGTGGAAGTAAGATTGCTGCGATTCCTGTGAAAGCCATTGTACAAACTGATTTTCCCTGAACTTTCAATAAATGATATAAAGTTGTATAAACAAATGTTTTCCCTGAGCCACCTGGACCATCGATATAAAAACAGGAGGATGATTGTTCCTCAGTAGACATGGCTATATCCAAAATTTTGTCGACGATTTCCTTTTGTTTCACGTTCAGCCGATCATACTGATTTTGACCGAGGCTTTTGTGTGTTTCAATGGAGATTTGATTGTCAACTTCATCATTAACATGGGTTTCACACTCAATTAACTGGTGCATTGTCGGAAATGCACTTATACTGAAACCTTCGTTCATAAGCAATGCATTAATATGAGCGTATGCTCGCTTGTTAGACTCAGATTCATCATGATTTCTTCGAAAGTCTTGGGAAAAAGCATCTTTGAACTTCTCCCATAATTGCTCTGGACGATTGGGATGGCAGTATATTAGAATACGTACAAATAAATGTCTCAATTGACGGGGCATCATCCATATTTCTCCTTCAGTCAAAGCACGATCCCATTCTTGGTCATCTTCAATTAGCCCCAACGCTAAACATGCACCTTGATATGTATCATATACCTCACCATTAACTGTCTTCAGGTCCTCAAAGCTGATAGCACCTTTGACGTTTATTAGCAGTAATCGAACATGAAACAGTTCTACCTGAGTCGGACTTACTGAATACATCCGTCCAATTACATTGAAATGTGCTTTATGTTTTACCCACATATATTGATTCGAATTCGGCGACTTCTTGAATACATAATGGGACGGAATGTCTCCGTACGTGTAATTTCTAGCTTCTGGATCTCGTAGATTCAAGGAAAAATAATCCATCAACATACTTGTCTTTTCTAAGGCAGCTCTCATACCGTCTTCATTTTCAACATCATTAATAATTAGATTTTGTTGATTTTGTAAATGGACTGGTAATCGGATCACTGAATGACTTTTGTGTTGTAAAGGTCTACCGTATATTCGATCACATGCTTCAACCGGCGATACATATCGTGTATCTATGAAATTTCGGATTTCATCATGGCGAATTTCATTGTGATTTTCACTGTTGCTCACGATGACAGAAGCTGAATCGTGGCCCTTGTATATATATTTATACAAATACTTCACGGATTTGATGCTAGAGACAATTTCCACGTTGATATGACATCTGAACTTCATTAATAAATGAGGATTATAAGGAACAACATATGCATTATCAGTTGTGCGCCCGTTAGAACGTTCGTAAGTACCGGTATTGTTCCGACGGTAAGTGGGATATCCGTTCTCATCCATCCTCGTACATTCTTCAAACTTTTTTGGAACTTTTTTTGTACATTTCCCTTGTTCATTTTTACACCAATTGCCACATGGTCCGTGAATCATATCTTTCAAGACGATATCGTGAAGAGTTGGGTTTGCTTGACGATCAGGGATCTCTGCCGATATATAGTCATCTACAGCAGCAGGAGTGAGGATTTTACTGCTTTGCTTCAAATTCACTAACAGATGCATGTGTGGTAGTCCACGTTTCTGGTATTCGATTATATATAGATAAGCACATACGTCGCCAAACAATCTATCTTTGACAACATCATTGATAAGTGCGTCTTTCTTAATATCGAAAACTCGTGACACAATATCTGGCCTGTCAGATGCCATTTGCCCGGGTAATACATTTTCTTTAATTTCAATCCAATTAGGATTGCAAGTCATAGTGATGAACAAATCGGGTTTACCGAATTTTCTTACAATAGCCATTGCGTCTTGATAATTTTGCAGCATATTACGTGGTGAACCTGTGAATGTTGATGGGAGAATGACCATTTTCCCTACTTGACTATCAGTATCATTTGCGCGGCGACGTAAGTGATCCACTAAGCCTTGATATGTTTCACTGCGTAGAGTCTTTTGATTTTGTCTACAGTAGTTTAATCTATCCTTCTCAATTTTAACGTAACTATCGACAACCCATTGTTGATACAATCGTCCTCCTTTCAAGATGACATTATTGTCTCTGTCAGCCATTCTATATTTGGTGTAGGCAGCTCGTGATACTCTTTTTACTTTATTCACGCAACGTAAATTTGCATCTCAACCTCTTGTACCATATGGATAGAATAGAGGATAGATCCATGGTTCAACGTTAGGATCCATGGAATTGATAAATTGGAGTTCTTTTGTCCTTTTATTACGAACTGACACATAACATTCTGGAATATCGCCATCAGCTGCTGTCGTAAAAATGGCTGCTACCTCATTAATTTTTTGTAAATTATATCGCCTATGATCCATTCCAGGTTTGAGTGAAAATATTAACTGCATTTCGGGTTCCTTCTCTGTATCCAAATCTCGCATAGATTGTAGTTCTTCATGCATCATTCGATAAGACTCAGCAAATAGATTACATTGACGAAGACAATTATCTACCGCCTGAACTACTTCACGATTCAATGTGGATATCAAATTGCATCGTATGTCCGTTGCTTCGTTTTGATCAATAATGAACAGTTGACCGTAGGCGGGAGTTTCATTTGTTTCGGGGTAAAGACTTTTATTGAACTGATAATAAACTTGACCATGAAGTTTAAAGCAGACCGGACCCGGTCGTCGATCAGAAAAATCTACCAAATTAGCATTGAACGATGCAAATGCAAATACACTATTATAAGAACGTATTCGTTCATGGAAATGCCTGGATTCTGCATGAGTACCATCGAAAAGATCTTGCAAAATCGTTGGTGGATTGGGTAATGCTTCGAGAGCAACTTCTCCATGGCTACAACAATCATTGAACGAATCTTTCCGAACCCTTTCGGCTTCAGAATGTTTAGCATTGCAATGGGAGCACCGAATGTTCATTGGGCCAATGTAATGTTCTTTAATGTCCTGTATTGTATTATCACAAAGAGCACTTGATCGTTTTCGCCCTGATGAATGAGAATAATTATTGTTGGATAACTCATCAATGGTAGGAAGATTGGCATTAACGTCGTTTATGTCCATGTCCACTGGAGTATCGATTCCTGAGACTATCCTATTATTACCGTTCCCATTATTGCAGATATTATGCTCAATTCCCGCACCGAAGCTGATTTCGTGGATTGCACGATTCAAATTATGTTGCTGTTTGCGAATTTTCGCTCGACGTTCACGCTGACATGTGGCGTTTTTTTCACGCCGTATTCGCTGTATTTCTTCTTCATTGGTTTGTTGATTTCGCTGTCTATTCATATAATTGTCTTCATGAATATCATCGACAACTTCGTTTATTGATAGATCAAGGGAGTTATTGAGTTCCAGGAGCGAACGATTCGAATTATTCTGTTGATTGCGACATTTAGCACGATATTCACGCTGATATGCCGCATTTTTCTCACGTTTTATCTTTTTGTATTCCTCTTCTTCTTCAGATGTTCGTTGAATTTTTTTTCTAGGCATTTTGAAATTTAGAGTGTCGAAATTATGGACGGGAAATATAAATGAGTATGAGAGAGACACAAAGGTTCTTAATTCAGTTCAGAATGCACTAATTTGTCAATTATCTTTATTATTTTTATTCTACTTAATTTTACTGGACAGTTCTAAATATGTTCTGCTAGTCTATGTAAAGAATGAAAAAAAAGAAACAGAAAATTGAATGAGCGAAGATTCTCAACAAATTGCTTCATTCATTCAGCGAAACTGTAAAGTTCTGTGTTTTTGTTATGCAGTTCGTTGAGTTGTTATGATATTTTGGTAATATTTTGGTATGAATATTGCTCGGTAATATATTGGGTAATATTGGGTAATATTCTTGTAATAAATTTTATAATGGTCCTTGGTAACGGTATTTTTATCGCTATTCTTCACAACTCCGTCGAACTCCAGTATGATTGGACACGTCGCTGAAAATAGAAATAAAAACAATATATCCAACTCGATCAGGATTTAATTCAGTATGAAAGAGTGCATTGAGTGATATACTTACATTGTTGATTTTGTCCCTTGTTTTGTTGGAGGAATTAGTTTACTCTGAATGTCTCTGAGTGATCCTGGCTAACCATATATTAGCAATGAAAAACTGACAGCTCTAGAACAAACAATTATCATAAATTCAGACCATTTTTCGAGTGTAAAATGCATTTAATAGTTTACGTTTTGAATTGAGTTTTTCTGAATACTTTTCCGGGAAAATGAGCATGAAGAATAATGAAATTATATTATCAATACACAGATTACTTACGATAACCTCAATTCACCGCATCAAAGGGCACTTTGTATGACAAAAAAAGTTTTCACTGTAGATTAATCATTAATCTATTACATTAATCATTAATGTACATTCAGGATAACTCAGTTGGCAAAATTAATTTATCACTCAGCGATAACTATAAAAGTTATATCGAAATGATTTCACACGTTATTTCAGTGATCGTCAACGTTATACTGGTCGCAGACGTTTGTCCATACGTCACATTGATAAATGCAGAAACTATACTGTACTGTCGTCTGATATTCAATCCTCTTTGCCTGATATATTCTCCTCGCCACGAAAGAATGACGTTCGGGGTTATCTTCACCGTATTCCTCGACACTGGAGTGGGGAGACTTCGGGCGAAAGGTGAACATCATCCTTTATGGCGAGGAGAATAGTACTGGCTAGTACTCACAGAGGAAAATAGTTTGTGGCTGTGGCATCCAGCTAAATCATGCCTCGTTGGCAAGAATGATCTATAATATAGATAGATAATTTATAATATAGATTTTATATAGTCATAAACTGCTGTCCACCGATATTAGGGAATCAAATTCACTATCTCTTGAAAAATCCAACCAATGGAATTTTTAAAAATAATTTTATTGGGAAATACAAAATTCTTACGTCTAACAGTCATCATAATTTGACATTATGATTTTCTCGAGAACACATTAAGTCGTTCGAATTACATTGTATTCATCAGTCGTAGAAATAACTTTTTTTTATCTGAAATCTTGAAAATATAAATGTCGCATTAATATTTACCATCTTATTAACATTGCTCCTTATTTTTCCTTATTTGCCAACAACTTTCTATCCTCAACAGTCATATTTTACGTCCAACAATTATTTGCATGCATTAGACAAACTTTTTCAAATCAAATTATTCTCTCCTCTATTATAAAAATGACACAACCAAAATTTGTAGTTGTAATATTGATTATTACATGAAGAAATAATAAAAATTTCTTCTCAATCACTGATAAGAAATTCAATAAATCAAAAAAGAGAATCAACGTAGAAAATGCAAACTTTCTACGTGTTAAAGAGTAAACTATTGTTTTTGAAAAACCCACATGCTATACTTTTCTCCTTTTCACTTCAAAAAAATCTCGCATGTTTAAAAGAAATCTTCAGTTGAACATAATACTTTCATTTCTCATTCCTCTAGTCATCGTTTCATCTTCAAATAAAGAAAAAAAGTTCATGAATTATTCATCATCGGAGTTGTTTGATGGCATTATAAGGACATAGTGAGCAGACTCATCTGAACGAACTTATTGCTTCTTTTACTTTTACTTTTTTTACGAACACTTCTTGGAAAAAAAACTGCAAATTTTCATACATTACGAAATAAGATTCTTCCTATTGAAAATATACTCTATCAAACACCTGTTTTATCATCTAATTATAAATATCTCATTTTTTACACATATGACAAAATAAAGACTTTTTTAGGAGGGATAATCTCCATCAGACATTTTTTTGTTTTACCCTCTAAATAAATATATCTTATTGATATTTTTGGCGTTGGAGTAAACTGACAAAATTATTAAGTCTTGGTATGCTTTTTCATGTGAAAATCAGTTCAGATATAATAATCTGTAAAATTCTACAGTGGTCTTGGCACAACTAACACTGAAAATATCTAAAAGACTCGTCATGCGGAATGAGCGAAACATTAGAAATCAACTAATTTATTATCTGATCTGATCTCCATCATTCTATCACAATCATAATGATAAAACAAATGGAATATGGAGAGCGAATAAGATGGAGTCAGTCTAATCGGCTTTTTGTTTCTGGAAAAAAAAATTAATAAATTCGTGGATTGAAGAAATTATAAAAATAAAGTAGAGCAACCAATCAACTTTTTTTACTACTTTATCTGCTGCTCTTTTGGACATCAGAGGGGGTGCCTCTACTGCATCATCCATCTCATCTTCCGTCATCCTCGGAGCATTAGGGATCTCGGTGATCTGATTCATGGTTGACACGTTGAGAACGAATGCATCTCCTCGGCGATCAATCGTCCCTTTGACTGCAATCTTCATCCCTTCTACTAATTCATCTCGGGGAAAGAATGTAATGACATGAACGGTCATTCTGTGAACTGAAGTACAGATCATACCACAACCATAACTGGCCCCGTTAGATGTGGTAATACTTCTGAAATATTCTTTCAGCCATCCTAACACAATGACTGAACCGCGAGCGTTGCAAACGTCTTCCATTTCGATGGCTTTGTATGTGACCTCTTCGTCTTTCATCGTCTGGTCAGCGCCATTAGCAATATCATAGGTCCCCAGGAGTTGCAGGTGGCTACCACGGCCAAACTGAAATTCCTTGGTACTGACAGTGTTACCTGATCGACGAAAATTGAGATTGGCCTCCTTTATCACACCACCAGTGATCTTTAGAATCTGTGAAAAAGGATTTATAATTTTTCTATCACCAATATCAATATTTTTAGAATGAATAATATCCTGGTCAATTTTTACAATAAATAATTCTTTAGTTTTTGCAGTAAAAATTTAAAAAAAGATGAAAAAAGGTGATAACAAATCAATTTTAGGAGGTTTTTTATTCGACAGAAAATGATTATTGTGGTACCTGATACATGACGATTTCATTGTTATATTTTAATGCATCCTCTCCCCAAAAGATTACTCGAACCCTCCTTCCGGTGGTGTTATTTAGCACGATTTTATAAATCCACTTTGAGGGGGATTTGAGCAACTCTTTGAGCCCTTCAATGCTGTCCACGTATCCTACAATTTTCCTGAAAAAAAAGGAAATAATTCAGGGTGGAAGCCGTGAACCGGAATAAGAAAGACGATTTTTTCGACTTATCCCGATTTACCACTTGAGTCGGGAACCTCTAGCACGTGGCGATGAGAGGTTGAAATATCTTCAGATAAAAGTATTTCCATGATATCAGCAATATTTTTAAATAATACTCACATCAGTGTAGCGCCGGCATTGTAATGATCAACTGCCTTATTTGTGGTATATTTGATGACTGTTGGGTGCATTTTTATCACTGGATTTTTATCACGGGATTGTAACGGTCGTAAAAACTCAAATCACGATGCCCCTATACACTCTGATGGGCTTCGGATGTGAACGAACGGAAGGAAGACTCGAAATATCGCGAATTCAAGCGGAAGCGCACGATTATGACGCAATCGCTAATGACGGCTGAGGTGGCGCATCGGTTTCGGTCTTACGGTGACACTTTTTCGAGATATTTCGAGATATTTCGAGATCGATTTCCTTTCTCCTTTTTATCTCCTTTTTATAATAGGATCACTCTATAGTGTGTCTAATATGGCGTTTCAATTCCCGAACCAAAGCCTTTAAAGCAGCTCTTCGCACTGAATACCGTTCCGTCACACTCAATATATGTTCACGGCCGTTATTAAGAGCCCTTTCAAACTCAGCGACTATTACTTCAACAGACACCACCTCGTTATCAATCCGAAAATCCTACTTTTTCGTCGTTGAATCACCTTCGCACTGCTCAAGCTCACACCTTCTTCTCCTTTGCAGTCTCAAAGATCTCCGGGTTGTTCCCAAATCCATTAAAAAATGTAACACTGGCCGAACAGTACACCGCTGAGTCAGATGAGCATCTAAATAATCGACACACGCAAAGACCCCTTCTAGCATCACGGGTTCTACAATTTTTATGTGTAAGCAAAATTATTCCCATCTTTCTTTTATATTTCACTGCATGTTGACTGAAAAGTGATATAGCTATGCATCACCATTCGCAACAAATGTACTGAAGACGCTGAGCGAAGGTATGAGGGTTTAAATAATGAAATGCTGAAGGCAAAAACATTGTTCTCCATATATTCCTTCGTTTATAACACAATCAATTTAAACGATAATGTATACAAAATTAAATGTCTTTGTATATGAATTCACAGGGATGATAAGGACCTTCCAGAAAACGTATAGATAAACGGTCCCGTACAAGCAATGTCTTATGATAGATGTATTCTGCTTGATCGTCCAAAAGTGCTGTAGATACACGCGCAGGGAGGAAAACATCATGCTCACCACCCAGAGTAGCAACGATTCTTCTGCCATATTTGGTGATAACACTTCTGAATTCAGTAATCTGATAATCCACACCTAGAGTTAGATCATCGATTCGCTTGACGGACAGAGGCTCACATCTGGCAATTTTGTTGATACTTCGCTCAGCCATTTTCAAAGACCTTCTTTGTAAATCAAAACGACCACAAATTGATATCGTGAAATAGAATCAGTCGTATGAGCGAAATTTGCAATTGATTACATACCTCTATCCCTTTACAGTCCACAGGAAAATTAACCACGCAAACACAACAACTGTTGAAAAAGTAGTAATAATTCTTGAGAATCCCCTCAAATATAGAGTCTTCTCACTTATTACCAGACCGTGCGTCCACCAATGATATACCCGTAATTAGACGGTCAGCCAATAGACGTAGTCGTCTTGACAAAATTGATTCCACAAAAATGTACGAGTGCGGGTTTTAGTCATAACAAAAAGACACGCGCATGTAATTCCATCATCACATTACTTTTTGTCTCTGGATTACTGACCGTTGCAGTACGTGTTCAAAATATGCAGTTTGATCATATCTTTCACCCAAGACAAAATTACAAAATCCACAGGTGACAAATTATCATAAGACATCAGAGTGTAACATCTGACCTTGGCCGGGGAATTAAAATATATTAATTTTTCTGGCGATGGCCTTTCTGGAATGCACGGTTGCACATTCCCCTGAGGTCAGTGGCGGGTTTTGGTGGATTGCCCAATTTTTGTGGCGGCGGTTCATTGACTTGACTACTTCTTATTTAATTTAAACCTTTCCTATTTTTTGGGCGAGATTTTATCGTAAAATTAGAATTTTTATTATTATTTCTTAAACGGTTCCGGTTAGCGCCTCGATCTTTAAATTGTTTGTCGGTAAGTAGTGGGTGTGACCTAATTAGCATGCTAATTGCGGCCGGCAGAGGCACTGGGTCACTGGACCGCGTGGGTGGTCAGCTGTTGGGGTGAGTTGTTGATCTGGTATTCATTTATTTTCGAGTTTTGCAAGCAACAGGTGTCCCGCTCCATTCTTTTAAAGTTTTTTCGTGTTTCAGTATGTTTTTTGGAGGTTTTTTAGTGTGTTTTTGTCTTTGGTGACAAGGTAATTATGTTTTTCTCTAAAGGATAATTAATTGTTAGTTTGTTGAGTGTTTTTTTTTACTGTTTATTGCTTGTTTCAGATCCGTGGATCGAAGCGTGAGTGGAA